GGGGGTGGGTTGAGAATGGTTTGATTGATTGACATGACGAATTTGGATCAATTTCAACGAAGTGTAGTAATCTATCATTGTAATTAGTTAGGAGTTCACCGTGTACATTTTTTTCATGCGAACAAATAATTTTCATAGCCCGGGATGACTAAGGGCCTCCTTGGCTTAGTTTTTAAAAATAATTTTTTGTTCTTAAAATTTTAAAATTATGGAGATATTGTTTGATTTGGTTTTTTATTCTCTAAATTTTAGAGAACAACAAAATAATGTTCTAATTGTTTTTTGAGACAAAATAAAAACACGAGAAAAAGTCTATCTCTAAATTGATGAGGTCTTCCTTTTGAGTTTCATTCGGGACAAAAAAATAGAGACTATTTCTTCTTTTTCTCCATTGCAACCCTTGAAGTTCTCTCACTTCCATTTTTTCTCCACCACAACCAGAAAGCTTCAAATATGTTCTCTCACTCTCTTACAACAACTGGAGCTTTAGATCTGTGTGCGTCTGTGTGTGTATGCGTCTATGTGTGTGTCTGTGTGTGTGTTTTATGGAGACAAAGAGAAGGAAAAGAAAGAGAGATATGAGAATATTGAGTTTTGTGAATTATTGTTCAAATAGATTTTACAATTTTTTCATTTTTTAAAATTATTTTTAAAAATATATAACCAAACAAGTTTTATAATCTAAAATTTTCAAAAACACTTTTTTAAAATTTTTTAAAAAAATTATTTTCAAATACTATTTTTTAACATTCAAAACAAACAAACCCTAAGATTTTGCTTCATTATTAATAAGTCAAAGGTTCGAACCCCACTTTTAATTACGTTATTGTTTAAGGTTAGTTCTAACAAGTTTAATATTTACCTACAATTCTCATAAATTATTTGGCACCTCCTGCTAACTTTAGAGTGAACTAGATATATTTTCTTTTACACCAAAAAAATTCATATCCTCGAGAAAAAAGGATTGAAATTCTCTTCAATATCACATTCACAAAAAATTGAATTGGGTAGTTTAATTGATGGGGCCCAATTAAGACTTTTCCTATTGTGCATTAATTGAATTGTGGACCCTGAAACATGACAAGTATTAATCCTACGGATGGATTGAGATCTAATCATAAATTGTGTGTTTAATGATCAATCAACGTTTGGCAGGGGACTCCCAAGTTGCTTGATGTGAAGAGACGTACTTTAGAGAGCCCATTGATGCGTAGTACAAGCGCAATTGCTTTCATTCACTGAAACTGCTTTTGGTCTAGAGAATTACCCAGTCATGATCACCCTCATCGCAGAGTAGAACAATATCCAGATGGTAGAGAAGATTACTTAAAATACATATAAATTAATTAAAATATTTTTAACTATAAAAAATTAAAAAAAGAGGTATTCTATCGAAAAGTGTAAAAAATATATCAAAAAAAAATGTGATATCTTCAATTCAAAAAGATTGCAATTTAAATCTTTTAGGTAGATGTATTTAAAAGAGTGATAAGTTATTATCTTTGCGGTGAAGGTATCGTGTAATTGGATCTGTGCGTTAAACCCATCAATTTTTTTTTAACACATAACATGATAGTGTCAAATGGTAGACATCACCGATGTAGTAAATTATACACAAAAGTAATAATTTTTTTTTGTATCGAAGAAAAGTGATAAAAATTGTTATCATACTTACAACAGTGATAAAAATATTCACAAAATAATAATTTTTTTGATTATAAAATAACCTACAAAAATTATAAAAATACTCATTGAAATAGTAAATTTTCAAAGTATAATACCGATTTTTTTTTCTGGATAATATAGTCAAGTCCTAAGTACTTTATTACTTCAAATTAGCAAAGCCCTGAGTGATGATATAAAGCATCCGTTTGCGCAATGGTGCTTCTAAGTTGATTAACAAAATTGCACACAATTCAGTTTTGTGAAATATGCACATGCCACTTCTTTTTTTTAATCTTCGCCATTAAATCTGAAAGAACTTCCCAAAAAATTCTCAAACTACACATGATTTTGTGCATGAATACACACGAGAGAGAGAGAGAGGGAGAGAGAGAGAGAAGTGGGGGTTATGAGTCCTACCACCATCAATGTTCAATAGCTGAGTACCTAACAGCAAATCTCTGCCACTATCCAACGACATAGGCTCTCAGTACTTTCCTAACGCGTCATTCATGTAACAAAGTCCAATAATTGAAAGAAACATCAATAACCCAAATGAATATACATGGATACCTACTCTTTTAGACCTCCTGGCCCTGAACTGTCCTGAAACTGCCCACTATTTGGTGAAGACAGAAGCTGACATGGATGGCTAATAAGCAAAGAAGATGAACATTCACTCGAGAAGAGTAAAAATTCGGTTTACATGTCAGGATTATGACGTAATATTACTGTCAGGGGTGTTTAAATTTTAAATTTATCGTAATTTTTTATCTTATTTGATATTATTCTATTATATTAAATGATTAGTTGTAAAAATCGGATAAGAATATATAAGAATTTTTGATCTTTTAATTAAATCGAGTAGGAACATAGAATATTCATCAATTTTTACATTTCTATCTAATTTTACCAGCAAAAAATATATTTAACTTTTTTTTATATTTTTTTAATAATTATAAGAATATTTGTGTGATATAATTTATATTATAATATTGTTATTGTTGTGGATATTTGAATTGCTAAAATATGAACTTGTTTTTTGTGTAGGTTATATGGTTTGTGATAAATTAATAATTTATTGGAGCAGTTATGATTTTAATGTGTTTCATATAATTTAAACATAAAATAATTATTATTGTATTTGTGTAACAATTATGATGAATTAATGTTTATTCTTTCTTATATTTTATTGTAATTATTGTTGCAGTTGTTTTAGGTTTTAGTGTTATTAATTTATTGTGTTGTTAAATTAGTGCATGTTATTTAATTGAATTGTTAAAATGATTCAAAAATTAATAACTAAAAAAGTGTTTATCCGACTTCTTACTCGATTAATTGGGTAGAAAGTCGGATAGGAATACTACACCTGATCGAGTAGGTTAAGTTAAAAATTTTTTTTTTTGCAAAATATTAGGTAAGAAAACGAAATATTATATTTCCTATCCCTATGGTAGGGTGAATACCCCTAATCATTGTGTAATAATAAAATATTAAATGAATAAAATAAATCTCTTTTTGTTGCATGTCGATAGGTATTAGCCTGATAGAGAGAGACTGGGTGGGTATCATATTATACGGAGGAATATTTATTTTTTTGTGTAGAATTTATTTATTAATTTATTAAAATATTATTAGATGGTAATATTACGTAACAATGTTGACGTACGATAGCATAACCCATTAATGGATGACCTTTTTTTTATTCTAATCCTAATTTCATTTGTGAGAAATGTAATGATATTTTTTTTATCGATTATTCGAATCTAAATGCAAATATGTAATATGACACTTTACGAATTTGGAAAAAATACATATACGAATAATCAATATGATTATATTATCATTGTTAAAACATACCTTTGTTAGGGTTGTCAAAATGTGATGTTATACGACATAAACACGATACAAAATTATAGGATGTAAGTCTTCTTTAAACCACTCATTTAGTAAACAAGTTGACTCAATATAACACAATTAATAAATGAATTGAATATGTGTGAAATTAATAAAAAAAAATATACAACTCAATTCGTTTATATATAAATTAAACACAGTTCATACATAATATAAACTCGATATGACATAATTCATTAGACATAAATTAATCAACGAATCGAACATGAATGAAGTGTTTTTTTTACCATGAACCTGATTTAGCTGATACGATTAATATTTAGGATCTGAATTTTTAGGTTTAGTGAATTTGCACATAAATTTATGACAGCAAAATATGTGGAATATTCAAATGAAATTCAGGTACGGACTTTAAATCAAATTGAATTTATATCAAATAAAATCTAATTCAAACCCGTTTCGGTGACATCCTATATGTGACATAGGTGGGTGAACGAGAATCTAGGGAAAAGAAGCAAAGATGGGCACTTTTGTGGATGAAAATATTTCCCAGTTGGAAACTACTACCCTTTGGCGCCACCATCTCATCCCTTCAACCAAAACTCCCACCAGTGCTTATCACCACACATTATAATATACATCTTTCTACTTCAATTAACCCTTGTTTCTCCCAATAATATCCTCAGTGCCACTCCCCTTCCCCACCCTTATACAGTCCTTTCTTAGCCAAAGTGGAGACCCATTTTGGGTATTTCACTGGACGATGATAATTGTTTGTAAAGGCAGCGGAGAATCAGAGACAGAATGATTACAGAATGAAAGCTTTGAGCTTGTACTCTAGATGTGGATAATTCTAATTCAGTGTTGATTATAAAGAAAGAACATGATGTTGGAAAAAGGAAACAAAAAATAGGAGGTGACATGCCCATTTGGTCTTGTTTCACCTTCAAGAGAAAACTGCATGTGATTCTGTACCCAAAAGGATTCTTCAGCTACAACCATGGTGGATCTTGATCAGGAGAAAACAGTAACAGTATCACCCACAACTGTTAATATGGCTGCAACAAAGAAGAAGGAGCTTCTTTCCAATGCTATGAAGAGGACTAGTGAATGGTTTGCTTCCATTCTTTTTTTTTTTTTTCCTGTTTTCTTCAATCTTAATTTTCTTTTATTGAAACTTTTCTCTATAAATGTTGCTAATTTTAGTTTCTTTCTTTATGGTTGGAAAGATTCTGAAAAAAGGGTTATGTTGACCGTTATAATACTGAATGTTAGCAGGATTTTCTCACAAGAGATCCCGAGTGATGTGTCCATTCATGTCTCAGAAGCCTCATTTTCATTGCACAAGGTAGAACATAATCTTTGCTGGCCATGGTTCTCTTAGTGTTTGATAAAATTTTTCAGAGGAAGAACCTTTGGATGGTTTTGGTGTACAACTTTATCGATTATACTTGGACAACTCTCTAGGCTTAGGTGGACGTAGACAGACCTCTTAATGCATAATCTACCATGTTTATAGATAGAGTCAATGGTCACTCCACCATGGGAAGAGCCACTTCTTTCTTGCTTGGGGGTGCTTATTGCTCTCCAAACTGTGCTGGATAGTCACCCATCCCACGGCTCTTGACACCAACTCGTGGTGAATCCCAGGGACATAGTCAAAGTGCTTGATCCTTTGCGCCTTACTCGTAGCTTATCTTTGCGTATTGCAATCCAATTATTGAACTGGCAAAAGAAATAGCACGATTCTATATTATGTTTTTTGAGTAGTTGAAGAATCTCATTGTGCAATTCTTACTTCACTTGCAGTTTCCATTGGTCTCCAAGTGTGGCTACATTAGAAAATTGGTGTCAGAATCTACCGATGCTGATCTTTCAGTTATTGAAATCCCTGATGTTCCAGGAGGGGCAGAAGCCTTTGAACTCGCCGCAAAATTCTGTTATGGAATCAATTTCGAGATTGGTACTGAAAACATAGCCATGCTCAGATGTGTGGCAGAGTATTTAGAAATGACAGAGGACTATGCTGTTGGAAACTTAGTGGGAAGAACTGATGCCTACTTGAATGAAGTGGCACTCAAGAGCCTTGCAGGGGCAGTTTCCATCTTGCATTCATCGGAAAACCTCCTTCCAATGGCAGAGGAAGTGAAATTAGTGAGCCGATGCATCGACACAATTGCATATATAGTCTGCAAGGACACCCAATTTAGTTCTTCAGGCAGGGCAGAGAGTGGCACTGATGGTGTAAATTCTTCCACACAGTCTCAGACTAAACCAATTGTTGATTGGTGGGCTGAAGATTTAACTGTTCTTAGAATTGACATCTTCCAAAGGGTCCTAATTGCAATGCTGGCAAGAGGGTTCAAACAATATGCACTTGGTCCAATTCTTATGCTCTATGCTCAAAAATCTCTCCGAGGATTGGTGAGATCTCAGCCCGAGCACCTGAATTACTCTATATGTGTCTGATTGGATCAATCTTTCATTGCAGGAAGCATTTTTTTCATTGATATAGACTAAACGGAGGGTTTTTTTTTTAATTGCAGGAAATATTTGGAAAGGGGAGGAAGAAAATTGAACCGAGACAAGAGCACGAGAAGAGGGTAGTTTTAGAAACCATAGTTAGTCTTCTGCCAAGGGAGAAGAATGCAATGTCAGTTAGCTTTCTCTCAATGCTGCTTCGAGCTGCAATATATCTTGAAACAACAGTGGCTTGTCGGCTCGACTTGGAGAAGAGGATGGCCTCACAGCTAGGACAGGCTGTTTTGGATGATTTATTGATTCCTTCATTTTCCTTTACCGGGGACACATTGTTTGATGTTGATACTGTGCTGAGGATCATGATGAATTGCTTAGAATATGAATTAGAGGGTAGAAGTTTCGGCTTCAATGGGGATGAGGAGTATGTTTCTCCTTCTCCAAGTGACATGGAGCGAGTTGGGAAGCTAATGGACAACTACCTTGCGGAAATAGCCTCTGATCGTAACTTATCTGTTTCAAAGTTCATCAATCTTGCTGAAATTATCCCGGAACAATCGAGGATAACAGAGGATGGAATGTATAGAGCCATTGATATTTTCTTGAAGGTAAATTTCACTTTCCAATAACTCATCCACAATAAGCATAATTTTCTATGCTTTATCAATATTCTGGATAATCTTGAACATCATTTTTCACAATTCATACACTTGGTTGCAATATATGTAATTCATCTACTATCTCTTTACAAATAAACATCTAGTAGTTCTGTTGGGAAGAGGATTCTCTCTTTTTCTTTGTACAATAGTTCATTACTATTATAATGAAGAATCAACTATAATACTGAACATCAGTGTATCAAGATTTTGAGAAGAGATGCAGACTAGAACCCGGAAATGGGGACATTATAAATCGATTATTGACTTTGATGGCAGATTCCAAGATCTGTCTTTCTCTTCAAATTTGCATTCTAAAGTGAAATTGGAATATAAAACCTGTTAATACCACTCTTTAATGTTGGATGAGTTTTTTTTTTTTCTCACAAGAATCACATATTGATTGACCTCTATCTTTTGCAATTCACAGGCTCACCCTGCTCTAAGTGATTTGGAGAGGAAGAAAGTTTGCAGCGTGATGGACTGTCAAAAGCTATCTCGAGAGGCCTGTGCTCACGCTGCTCAAAATGATCGCCTTCCTGTTCAAACTGTTGTGCAAGTGCTTTACTACGAGCAGCAACGACTTCGAGAGGTCATGAATGGAGGACTCATAGGTCAAGAATCACCATCTCTCCCCCCAAACTTGAATTTATATCCCACTGATAAACTCCCTGTTTCAAATGAGCTCTCAAGCCTAAAAAGAGAAAACCAGGACCTGAAATTGGAGCTGGTGAAGATGAAAATGAGGTTGAAAGAAATGGAGAGACCAGTAGATAGATCAGGGGCAAGCAGTCCACTGGTGATCACTCTTCCATCAGTCAATAAACCGCCTCTACCCCGAAAATCATTCATGAGTTCTGTGTCCAGAAAGCTTGGAAAGCTGTATCCGTTTGGGCGCACTGATGGAGTCTCCTCAACCAATGCCAAAGGTCGTAATAGACCAAGTAAAAATTGGCGTCATTCTATATCTTGAGACAATTGGTTTGTCTCTGAGATCTGTTAGTATTTTCTGAGATTCACAAGCCTGTTGGATTGGTTTGAAGGCTTGGGAAGGAGGATTACAAGCTTGTGTATGTTTTTGTTCCTCTTTATCTCCTTATCTTCTGTATCATATGCTGTAAATTATATTCCATTGGTGTCATGTTTTCATTAGGTTCTGTGACTCAAAGCTGGTAAATAGAAAGTGATGAAGGATCAAGCATATTGTTTCTCAGATTGTTGTTTTCTCTGATCTGGGATTGCAATATTGATGTGGAAAATGTATAATTAAATCCCAAAAAAAAAAAAAAAAAAAAACAGTACTAACATTATATCCATAAGAGAATAAGCGAAAAAAGGGGATCTATATTGATATAATTAGCTCTTTCATTGGTAATTTCAAGAGGTTTTCAGATAAGATTTGCAAATTCTGTAATTTTTCTACTTTTGGATATTGGTACGTTTGGATTTGAGGATGAATTGATGAATGATGTGCATTAGGCACTCTTTGTAATTTTTTTTTCCAGCGTTGTGCTACAGTGACCATAAAAAGGGACTAATTAAGGACCAAATCATAATACGTAAAATTGAAATTTATCAGCACTTGCACCGCATCATTTGGTTTTTATTTTTCCTCTCTTTTCGGTCAGTCTAGCAATTGTCCTTTTTAACGAGGAAAGCATTGAGGATAAAAAGAAAACCACAACTAAGATTGAGATCTGTTATCTTTCAACATTTTTGATAGCTAGCTTCAACGGTAGTTCAAGTGAAAATAGAGATGAGATGTAAACTTAGATATCCTGAGTTCAAATTTTAGTAATATCTTGACATCAGACCATAAGGAATTTATTTCTCACGAAGAGCCTAGTTCCGGCATGGATGACTTGTCTTTGATTAGACTAGAGAGGGAATTAGTCAAAACTTTTGACAGCTCAATGTAGGGTCCTCCATGTGGGTCTAGTCTAATACAGTGTTCTCAAAATACAGTGATTCTATCACTTATCTCAAAATAAAGGGAGCTTTGGAAAAGAATAGGAACTGAAATACATTGTAATAGCAAGGGTGTGGGATCTGTTTAGAATGATTTGAATTCTTCTACATAGAAAGCATAGGAAAAGCATGATACTGGATAGATGGACAAGCTTGCATTGGTGGATATCTGATGTCTGAAGCTAATATAAAGCTTATGGGATGATGCTTCCAAACGGTGGAAGCTTCAGGAGANAATTGTAATAGCAAGGGTGTGGGATCTGTTTAGAATGATTTGAATTCTTCTACATAGAAAGTATAGGAAAAGCATGATACTGGATAGATGGACAAGCTTGCATTGGTGGATATCTGATGTCTGAAGCTAATATAAAGCTTATGGGATGATGCTTCCAAACGGTGGAAGCTTCAGGAGAATATTGGACTTGGAGCGATAGCAAATATTTATCTTCCCAAACAATTCTCAGCGAATTCGATTCTAAAAATCAACCTCTAAAAATAGGGATAAAACTGCTCATCACTCATATACTTCAGATTTGGCTATAGCCGAAAATCTTATACATTAAATGCAATATATGCTATATCATAGGATATGAGAACAATTACAAGGGCAGGACTTATTCACAGCAATTATTCAAGTTGAGCCTAAGATATTAGCAACGGAAACCTAGTGCTCACCTTGTGGCAGACAAACATATTAGCTCTTCCAATCATTGTTGGTGGGGTGAGAGATTCCATGTTTGTGAGAAAAAAGTTAAAAAAACATTAAAGAGAGTTGGAAGTGTAGGAAAAAATTTGGTGAGTTTAACAAGTGATAGTATTATGTGGTGTGTATATTTAATGAGAGGCTGTCACAAAATCAACTTCTGGCACACATAGGTGACAGATTGACAGCCATTCATTGAGAATGTAAATATTATGTTGGTGATGTATATCACATGACACTGTCATACAGTGTCTTAAGCCTGCACAAAAATTTCTCAATAGTATTGACATATATATTATCTACTTTAGTTTTTTAAGCAAGTTTTGAAAATGTTTGGATCAATATCCCCACCTATTTCCACAAAAATATGGAATGTAACAATGCCAACACGTCACTATTATCAAGTGGTGTCAATGTCACCATCTAATAATAATCTAACATGAAAACAAATAAACCCCATTCAAGTAAGTAATTTTTTTGTCCATGTAAGAAAATAATTAACTTATATAAATAAATGAAATTAACTTTACCAATTTATAAATTTATTATTGTATAATAACACCACGTTAAATCAGTCATACCATGCTCCTTGATGCTGTCAATGTTGTTTATCTGAAGTATGAATCTTGCAGTATAAAGTTTTTAGGGTTTTTTGGAAGCTGATACACTAAATCAGACATAATTGTAAAAAAATATATAGAACAAAATGTGTTGTAAAAAGTACGCTACTGAGATATAAAGACTGAACTGCCCATTTCCTAAAATTTATTTTCCAAAATTAGTTTTAGGAATATATCATAATTAATTAATTAGACACACAATGATAATGGTTAACCGCTGAAATATATGAATATTTATTCGTAAAACTCTTCATCTTCGGAAAATGTTTGGGCTTCTTCTTCCTCTCTAAAAACCATTTCATATTCCTAGCGATAAGCCCTAAAATCGTTTCCTAAACATCTATAGGGTTTCGTCTTTGAAGGAAAAATCTTATTGTTCAACCCATTTGATGTAAGATCGTCAACAACATCTATTTTTCAAAGATTTGTTTGCCATTTAAAGATACATACGAACTTCGATATTTGAAAACCAGAATCAGTTGTTGAAAGTTGGTTGTTGGCCTATGTGAAATATGATATTTCTACCATGTTAATTTATTGTGTGTGAATAAATTGTGTGTATCTCCTTAATACTGACTGTGTTTTCCCCATAGTGTAACAAAGATAGTGTAACAATATACTATAACAAAAATAATGTTTAGTGATTTTGTAGATGTAATAAATAATTCAAAACAAAGATGAACTGTTTGAATGAAATTATATGCAAATATATGTCTGACAAAATGTAATAGTATAATATTTTGTGTAAGTGTCTTGTTACACTGTTGTTGTTACACTGTTATGGTGTTTGCATATTAAAAAATAGAATAGCCACCTTGAAAATGATAGACATAAATCTAATGAAGTCATGAATTCAAATCTTGTAATTGTTTAGATTGAATGATAAGGACGGAATAATTTTTTGAGACTTGCATTGATAAAAGGCTTCTGGGCCGAAGATGAAGAAGAAAACAAAAGATACTATTGCAAAATTTAAAATTTNTGCATTGGTGGATATCTGATGTCTGAAGCTAATATAAAGCTTATGGGATGATGCTTCCAAACGGTGGAAGCTTCAGGAGAATATTGGACTTGGAGCGATAGCAAATATTTATCTTCCNTAAAATTCAAACTAACTGATTTATTCTTAAAATAAACGGAAGAATCAAAGAATTAAATTTTCCATAAATTAGAAGAATTTTAATGCATACATTTATCCTCAAAAAAAAAAACACAGAAGGATCAAATTTTTCATTAAATTAGGAGATTTTTAATGCATACATGAAAAAAAAATCAGGAATAAAGGGAGAACACAAATGTCAAAGAAAAATTCAAAAATTTTAAATTATGTACTTGGACACAAATAAGAACTAAAATTAATGACTTTTTTTTCTATATTTTTTTATAATTAATTCCAATTTGATGCACCCCTTTTAATTTACNCCCAAACAATTCTCAGCGAATTCGATTCTAAAAATCAACCTCTAAAAATAGGGATAAAACTGCTCATCACTCATATACTTCAGATTTGGCTATAGCCGAAAATCTTATACATTAAATGCAATATATGCTATATCNTCCAAACTATTCTCAGCGAATTCGATTCTAAAAATCAACCTCTAAAAATAGGGATAAAACTGCTCATCACTCATATCCTTCAGATTTGGCTATAGCCGAAAATCTTATACATTAAATGCAATATATGCTATATCATAGGATATGAGAACAATTACAAGGGCAGGACTTATTCACAGCAATTATTCAAGTTGAGCCTAAGATATTAGCAACGGAAACCTAGTGCTCACCTTGTGGCAGACAAACATATTAGCTCTTCCAATCATTGTTGGTGGGGTGAGAGATTCCATGTTTGTGAGAAAAAAGTTAAAAAAACATTAAAGAGAGTTGGAAGTGTAGGAAAAAATTTAGTGAGTTTAACAAGTGATAGTATTATGTGGTGTGTATATTTAATGAGAGGCTGTCACAAAATCAACTTCTGGCACACATAGGTGACAGATTGACAGCCATTCATCGAGAATGTAAATATTATGTTGGTGATGTATATCACATGACACTGTCATACAGTGTCTTAAGCCTGCACAAAAATTTCTCAATAGTATTGACATATATATTATCTACTTTAGTTTTTTAAGCAAGTTTTGAAAATGTTTGGATCAATATCCCCACCTATTTCCACAAAAATATGGAATGTAACAATGCCAACACGTCACTATTATCAAGTGGTGTCAATGTCACCATCTAATAATAATCTAACATGAAAACAAATAAACCCCATTCAAGTAAGTAATTTTTTTGTCCATGTAAGAAAATAATTAACTTATATAAATAAATGAAATTAACTTTACCAATTTATAAATTTATTATTGTATAATAACACCACGTTAAATCAGTCATACCATGCTCCTTGATGCTGTCAATGTTGTTTATCTGAAGTATGAATCTTGCAGTATAAAGTTTTTAGGGTTTTTTGGAAGCTGATACACTAAATCAGACATAATTGTAAAAAAATATATAGAACAAAATGTGTTGTAAAAAGTACGCTACTGAGATATAAAGACTGAACTGCCCATTTCCTAAAATTTATTTTCCAAAATTAGTTTTAGGAATATATCATAATTAATTAATTAGACACACAATGATAATGGTTAACCGCTGAAATATATGAATATTTATTCGTAAAACTCTTCATCTTCGGAAAATGTTTGGGCTTCTTCTTCCTCTCTAAAAACCATTTCATATTCCTAGCGATAAGCCCTAAAATCGTTTCCTAAACATCTATAGGGTTTCGTCTTTGAAGGAAAAATCTTATTGTTCAACCCATTTGATGTAAGATCGTCAACAACATCTATTTTTCAAAGATTTGTTTGCCATTTAAAGATACATACGAACTTCGATATTTGAAAACCAGAATCAGTTGTTGAAAGTTGGTTGTTGGCCTATGTGAAATATGATATTTCTACCATGTTAATTTATTGTGTGTGAATAAATTGT